ATTCATTCATTTCCTCTCACCTTCCCCCACTTCCCCTCCACTGTAAAAAGACTTTTCTTATCTGTTTCACGTGAGATAGTTTACCTCATTCTCTTCTCCCTTTCTCCTTCTCCCAGTATAATCTTCTCCCGTCCCTTATTTTTATTTTCCAGATAGCACTCCTTCATCTTCAACTTACCCTGTGCTCTCTATCTATCTATACAAACATATAATTTTTTCCCTTCCACTATCCTAGTACTGACAAAGGACTCATGAGTTACAAATATCATCTTTCCCTGCAGGAATGTAAACAGTTCAACCTTAATAAGTCTCTTATGATTTCTCTTTCCTGTTTACCTCTTCCATGTTTCACTTGAATCTTGCATTTGAAGGTCAAATTTTCTATTCAGCTCTGGTCTTTTCCACAGCTATGCTTGAAAGTCCCCTATTTTACTGAATGACCATTTTTTACCCTGCAGGATTACACTCAGTTTTGCTGGGTAGGTAATTCTAGGTTGTAGTCCTAACTCCTTTGCCCTCCGGAATATGATACTCCATGCCCTCCGGACCCTTAATGTAGAGGCTGTTAAATCTTGTGTTAACCTGATTGTGTTTCCACAATACTTGAATAGTTTCCTTCTGGCTGCTTGCAATATCTTCTTCTTGACCTGGGAATTCTGGAATTTGGCTACAATATTCCTAGGAGTTTTCCTTTGGGGATCTCTTTCAGGAGGTGATCGGTGGATTCTTTCAATTTCATTTTGCCCTCTGGTTCTAAAATATCAGGGCAGTTTTCCTTGATAATTTCTTGAAAGATGATGTCCAGGCTCTTTTTTTGATCATGGCTTTCAGATAGTCCAATAATTTTTAAATTCTCTCTCCTGGATCTATTTTCCAGGTCAGTTGTTTTTCCAATGAGATATTTCACATTCTCTTCTATTTTTTTCATTCCTTTGGAATAGTGTTACAGTGCCTTGATTTCTCAAATTGCCCCTATCTTCCAATTTCTTCATTCTAATTTTTAAGGAAGTATTTTCTTCAGCAAGCTTTTGGACTTCCTTTTCCACTTGACCAATTTTGCTTTTAAGGGCATTCTTCTCTTCATTGGCTTTTTTGGACCTCTTTTGCCATTTGGGTTAGGCTATTTTATAAGGTGTTATTTTCTTCAGTATTTTTTGGGGTCTCCTTTAGCATCACTCTCAGTTTTTCCTCTACTTCTCTTACTTGCTTCTCAAAATCCTTTTTGAGCTCTTCCATGGCCTGGGACCAATTCATATTTTTCTTGGAGGCTTTCGATGTAGGAGTTTTGGCTTTGTTGTCTTCTTTTGGTTGTATGTTTTGAACTTCTTTGTCATCAAATAAGATAATATAGTCTGACTCTTTTTGCGCTGCTTGCTCATGATCCTGGCCAATTACTTGAGTTATAAACACTTTAAGGTAGGAGTGTTTCCAGTGTGGAGAATGTACTGTCCCAAGCTTCAGGGGTTTTGTGTAGCTGTTTTCAGAGATACTTCTAGGGACCTATAAATTTTCAGTTCTTCCAAGGTTCTATGATGTAGAGCGAGGTGTTTACTCCTTTCCTGGTCTGTGCTCTGGTCTATGAGCACTCTTTTCTGTCTTGGAACTGTGAGGAGGGTTTCCTCTCCACAGCCATTACAAGCTCCACCATGCCAGCGCTCCTCCTCACCCCAGGACCACCACCCAGATCTGTGACCCAGATCCAAGCATGGGCAAAGCAAGAGAATCCTGCACCATCAGAGAGATCCCTGCAATCCCCCTCTGATCAGCCACTCAATTCCCCCTCAGTCTGTGGGCCGAAAGCTTAGGAGGCAGCCGCTGCCCTGGCCGAGCTCCAGGACTGAAGCTGAGACCACCGGCTTCTGTGTCTCACCGCAGACACAGACTTTTCCCACTGACCTTCTAAGTTGTCTTTGGCGTTCACGGGTTGAGAAATCTGGAAATCGCCACAGCTACCCACGATTTAGTCTTCTGAGGTCTGCTCAAGGCTTGCTGCGGGCTGCGTGCCCATGCCGAACTGCGTTCCTCTCCCAGCCCAACGCGATATACCTTTCTGATCAACCATCCAGGCTATCTTGGGCTGAAAATTTGTTTTGCTCTGTCTTTTTGTGGGTTCTGCTGCTTTAGAATTTGTTTAGAGCTATTTTTTATAGGTATTTGGAGGGGTTTGGGGGAGAGCTCAAGCAAGTCACTGCTTTTACTCCATCTTGGCTCTGCCCCCAACTAGCATTTATTAAGGCCTACTGTGTGCTAGGCACTGTGCTAATAAGCACTGGGGATACAAAGAAAAGTGAAAGGCAAAACAAAACAAAAACAGCTTATTCCCTGCTCTCAAAGAGCTCCTGGTCTAATACAAGAGAAAACATGTAAACAATTATAAACATGATACATACAGGATAAATTAAAGATTATCTCAGAGAAGAAGCACTAAGAATAAGGAATGAGAAAGACTTTTTGAAGAAGGTAGGGCTTTAGTGAGGGTCATGCAGCGTCTTGAGGAATGTAAAAAGGCCAGCAACACTGCATTGCAGAATACTTGGAGGGGATGTAAAGACTGGAAAGATAGAAAGAGGATAGAAGATTATGAAGGGTTTTGAGAGACAAACACTTTACTACAACAATCCAGCCTACTGTTTTTGACAACTTGTCATCTTTCTACTAAAACTACACAGCAAAATATCAAATATCACCTCCAAACTACCCACAAAGTAGAAAAACAATGAATAATGTGAGAAATGAATATTTCTAATTACTAGTCATTACATTAGGACCATTTTTTTTTATCCCTTTTCTAGTTTCTCATCCAGAAACCAACCAGTGTGGGAAATCTCTGTTAGAGATTTACCCAAGCCAAGACCTAATCAGACAGTAATGGAAATTCTAAGTATGGGCTAATGGTATACTCCTGCTCATTCATTGTGTTTGCTCTGACAGGCCTGGGGAAAGGCTGATTCTTCCTATTATCAAGACAGGTGATATGGAAATTGATGTCTTTTTGACCAAGATTTGAATATTCTAAGCATGTACTCCAAGACCATCATTTTAATGTAGCCCACACCTGTCTCTGTGTTAACTAATCTGAGTTGATTGCCATTCCTCATGAACACCTCCTCTTCGAAGGACATATAAACTGCAACACCACCACCAGTAGGGGTCTTTGGTCTAACAGAGATGGCCAAATGATCATCCTATTATTAATAACCTGCTGGCCTTATTTATAAAATGATTAAATTACCCAGAAACTATGTTTCTCAGACCTTTTGAATCATCACAATTAAGAATATATATTAGAAAGATAACATACAATCAGATGGCAGACAACAGTTACTTCATTAGTGTATATATATCTTAGAGAGGTTCTGCAGGTAGACAATGACCTAGATCAGAATTGAACAAGACGACCAGTTTGGATTTTATTTGGGAATGTATACTACCTGCCAAGAACCCCAAAAGTGCTGGATACATACAAACCTATCACTTTATCACCAACATCCCAGAAGAATCACAAATGACCCCAAAGAGAAACTGAAAGATGTGTGGAAAACATGCAAAAAGACTGCAGGAAATTACCAATAATGATCTACGTGTGAAAGATGGCATTAAATCCTTCAAGAATAAACAAGTATAAAAAAAAAGAATAAACAAATATAATCAGAAAAGGTGCCTAGTTATGTTAAGTAAAGAAGATGGACAATCTAAGAGCTAACATTGATATTTATGAGAAAGGCCTTCTGCCCAAGGATAAAATCTCTGAAGGATTTTTACAGACATGGACAAAAGTCCAACAGAATGCAAAGGCTTAGAGGGGCTCCAATTTGCTAAACTAGTACAGAATGATGGGGAAATGATCCCTGAAATACTAAATTACCAAACTTACTAAACTGGGGACACTCAACTCCCAATAAACTAATAAGTACTAGCTTCAATTAACCTTAGCATATAAAATAACAAAACTGTCATTTAGATTTCTGACTCATTTACAAAGTTAATCTGAAAAAATGCCAAACAAATTTCCAATCATTTATTGACAGCAAGAGAGAGCAGATGAACAGCCAGAGGCTTGCCCAGTACCTATAAAATGTAAATAGACCTATAAAAAAGGTTCTAGTAAGTTAAATGGATTTTCCTTGGACAGTCTACTAAAGAGCATCTACAAGACTTACAAAGAATCAGGTAGCATCAACTATGCTCTTTGGGCATAATACAAAACTATACATACCCTCTGACCAAGCAATACCACTATTAAGTCTGTATCCCAAAGAGGTAAAAAAACAAAAAGAAAAAGGAACTATATATACAAAAATATTTATAGTAGGTTATTTAGTGGTGGCAAAAAATTGGAAATTGAGGGTATGTTCATCAACTGGGGAATGGCTGAACATGTTGTATATGATTGTGATAGAATACCATTGTACTCTAAGAAACAATGAGCAGGACGTGCTCAGAAAAACCAAGTAAGACTTACATGAACTGATGCAAAATGAAATAAAAAGAACCAAGAGAACATTCTACACAGAAACAGTAACACTATATGATGATCAACTATGAATAACTTTGCTATTTTCAGCAATACAATGATCCAAGACAATTCTGAAAGACTTATGATGAAAAATGCTATACCTCTCCACAGAAAGAATTGATGGAGTCTAAACGCAAATCAAAGCATACTTCTTTACTTTCTTTATTTTTCTTTTTTATTGTCTATGTTTTCTTTCACAGCATGACTTACACGGAAACGTGTTTTGCCTGACTGCACATGTATAACCTGTGTCAAAATGCTTGCCTTCTCAACTGGGGGGGTGGGGGGCAGTAGAGGGAGGGAATTTGGAACTCAAAATCTGGGAAAAAAAAGAAAAAGAATGTCAAAATTGTTTCTACATGTAGTTGGGGAAAAAAAATACTAAATTAAAAAAAAATAAAGTATATTATTCTAGTATCAGGGAGCAATAGATCAGATGTTAGCTTCTGCTAACATCACTGGTTACTAATAGTGATTTACATACCCAGATGGAACTTTTCTTGGTGTTTTAGCCGTGCAAATCGTGATTTGAAATGCTCTTCACAATAGGTGCACTTAAAAGGTTTGTCTTGAGAATGAAGAATCATATGCTCCTCCAAGTGTGGTCTTCGAGTAAACGACTTCTTGCAAATCTAAAAATATATTTTCAAATAAAATAGCCCAAAATCAAAATTAACTCATAAAGAAAACAAGTCATGATATAAACACGATACTTTTTTTGAGTCTAAGTTTCCATGGAAGATTTTCAAAGACAAAAATATAGCACAAAAGAGAAACTTTTATAAAGTAGGTCAGAGATTGGATCTGGGCTTACATTGCAATAGACAACTCCATAGTGAGAAAATTGCTTCTACTAAATCAGGCTGACAGCTTGTCAACAACTTATAGAAGTTATGTTTTGCATAAGGTCAAACAGCCAATATGTGTCACAATATGGGGGATGGAGGCAGCTAGGTGGCACAGTGGACAGAGCATCAGCCTTGGATTCAGGAGGACCTGAGTTCAAATCCACTCAAACATGTAACACTAGCTGTGTGACCATGGGCAAGTCACTTAACCTCACTGTCTAACAAAAAAAAAAAGGGGGGGAAGAGTAAAAAGAAAATGGGGCTTGAAGACATTTGAGACCAGCTATATCATGTTGCCTTCCATTAAAATGATAAAAATTTTTAAACCACTATAAGGGATCAAGTACAAAATGAATATTATGTAACTGATGGAGGAAAACATGAGAAATTCTATTTTAGTTTTACTGTGAAGCTGAAACTGAAAAGAACTACATTCCAGGGTATTGTCCAGTACTTAAAGGAACAGTGCCAGGCCACAGAAAGTGTTCAATAAATTCGTGCTGAACTGAATCTTCTCGATTTTTATGTAGTTATTCCTGGAGACTTTCAACAGAAATATGAAAGGAAAATTAACGTCTTTAGGGAAGGGGGAAAGGAATAAGCATTTATACAGCATTTATTATGTACCAGGCCATTGTGCTAAGTACTTTACAATTATTATTTAATATTCAAAATAACACTTCAAGGTAAGTCCTGTTATTTTCCCCATTTTAGGCTGAGGAAACTGAAGCAAATGTCGGTTAAGTAGTTGCCCACAGTTACACATCTAGTAATCTGAGCTTGGATTTGAATTCAGGTCTTCTCCTGATGTGCAGGACACAGTGATAGGTATTAAGAGATAAAAACATAAATAAAATAAAGTTTTGGCTTCAAGGAACAACTGAGAAACAAGACGTGCACAAATAACTATAATACAAAGTATCACATATATATACACATATGAAAAAATAGAATACAAAGTATTACATATTATACATATGAGTATATACACATACCACATACACAGTTAGGATAATTGCACACCAAAAAGGTACAAATAAGCTAACACGACATTTCAAAGGAGAAAAGAGATTACATTGAATAGAAAGAATAAGATTTGTGGAAGTGGCATTTCAATTAAACCTAGAAAGACAAATAGGATTTTCACAAGCAGATATAGATGCGTGGAATTCCAGACATGGGGAAAAGCATGAGAATAAAAAAAATCACAAATAAAGAATGGCATGAAGAAAGGCATAGAGAAGGAAAAAAATCCTAAGATTTACTTATAGTAGGATGAGTAGCTCAATTAGGATAGTACTTAAGAGAATATCAGAGAAAACAGGATGATATATGGGTAAAAAAGTATATTAAAGCTATATTAAGCTTTAAATGCCAGGCCAGGGAATTTGGACTTTATTCAGGAGACAGTGGGAAGTTACTGAAGATTTTTAAGCAAGGGAGTTATGCTTTCAGGAGATTAATAAATCAGCAATGCATGGGACTAATTTAATATATCAGAGGAAAGCTAATTTGAGCCTGAACCAGGACAAAAAAGATGAGACAGGTGAGAAAGACATTGTGGAAGAGTGAGACAAATGTTCTAGTCTGACAAGCCCTTTATGAATCCTAACCCTTGCATCCATAACCAACACAATGGATGCCAGAGTTAGAATTCAAATGAGCCTGTCAAACTAAAACATCAGTCAGTCAATAAGCACTTTAATATTAAGCACCTACTATATGCCAGGCACTGGGCTAAGCAGTGGTAATACAAAGAAAGGCAAGTCTAAAGGAAGAGACAACATGTAAACAACTATGTACAAACAAGCTACATACAGGATAAATTAGAGATAATATAAGAGGAATATAAGAGGAATCATGGGTTCTACAACATGTTCATCTAAAAAAGTTAGCAAACTACAAGTTCATTTTGAGTAAGCAGCAGGATATGACAGTCAAAAAGGCTCTCTTAGGCTGCATTAAAAGAGACATAGCGTCCAATAAGGAGGTAATATTTGGGCTGTACTCTGCCATGACTGGGCCCCATCTGCAGTACTGTACTCAATTGTGCCACTGTAGGATAGATAATGATGACAGTATGACAGAGAGCAACCAGGATGGTAAATGATTTCAAGTTCATGCCATGTGAGAACTGATAAAGGAACAGGGAATGGTTAGTAGGAAGACAACTAGGAATAGCATAATAGCCGCCTCCAAGAAGCTTGAAGGACAGTTACGTGGATGAGAGATCAGATTTATTCAACATGGCCACAAAGGACACAATGAAGAACAACCCGAATAAGAACTAAAGAGGCAGATTTAGGATGGATCTAAGAAAAAACGTCCCAACAATAACAGCGAATCAAAAGTGTAATCATCTATTTTAGGACAGAATTGGAGTTTGTTACTTTTAAGCAAAAGCTGGATGACCGTTACTTAGGTGTCTTGTTTGTGGCAGCTAGGTGGCATAAAGTACTAGGCCTGAAATCATGAAAACCTACAATCCTGTTTCAGACACTAGCTTCGTGACCCAGGGCAAAACAGTTAACCTCCCTCTCTGTTTCCCCACCTATAAAATGAGGATAATAATACCTACTTCACAGTATTATAAAGATCAAATGAGAAAACATGTAAGTGCTTTATAAAGCTTAAAACTGCTACACTATAGCTAACATTTGTGTAGCACGTGAAAGCTTTACAAAGCACTTTACTAATATTATCATTACATTATAATTACTGTTATTAATACTGAGGATTCTGTGATTCTGTAGGACTGTTGGTCTTGGAATAAGGAAAACCTCTCATATTCTGCCTCATAATTTTACTAGTGTTGGACAACTCATTTAATGGTTAAACTGAAGCTAATAAAATTATGAACCTTTTTCCTTATCCATAAAATGAGGATAATAATAGCAAATATTTCACAGGATTATTCTGAGTATATAATGAGTTAACATATGCAAAGCACTTTGCAAAACTTAAGGCAGTATGTAAATTTCAGCTATAATTATTGTTTTATATATGAGGAATCCAAGTCCTAAAGAGGTCAAGTGATGGAGCCGAGACCAGTGAAATGCTGTTTCCATTATCCATCATTAAATACATCTGGCTCCTGGATGTTTGTACTTCTTAAATGCTTCATGACTACCTACTGTAGTAACTGAAAAGAAAATATAAATTGTAATAGGTAACCTGGTCATATCACCCTCTTGTTTCTTCTGAAACTGCCACCATCATGATGCAGCCAAGTTCTCATCACCCCCATGCCTGGACTACTCCAATATCTTGTTGCTTCATCTCCCCACAAGACTCCCACTACAGCAGTCCATCCTCCACTTAGATGTCAAAAGGATGTTTCTAATGCTTAAGTCTGACTCTCTCTCTCTCTCTCTCTCTCTCTCTCTCAAAGTCCACCCCCTGCCCAAAAAAAATACCATTCAAAAAATTCCAGGAGTTCTCAATCACCTTCAGGATAAAAAATAAAATCCTGTTTGACATTCCAAATATTTCACAACTTGCCCCGCCTCCTCTAAACTTTATAGTTTTCTTTCCCCTTCCACCCCTATACTCCATGATCCAGTGACACTGACTTACTTGCTGTTCCTTGAACAAAAAAATCACCTTCCTACTTGTGCATTTTCACTGGCTGTCCCCCATACCTGTGATGCTCTCCCTCCTAATCTCCAGCTCCTGCCTTCTCTGGCTTTTTTTCAAGTTCAAGCAAATATCCTACCCAATCTTTCCCAATCCCCCTTAATTCTAGTACCTTCCCTCTGTTGATTATTTCCAATTTCTCCTCTATAAAGCTCATCTGAACATAGTTATTTGTATGTTAGACTATGCGTTCCTTGAGGGCAGAGACTGTCTTTTGCCTTTCTTTGTATCCCCATTGCTTAACATAATGCTGGCACTTAATGTCTACAAACCAACTGATAAATATCATTTCTTTTGAATATAGTTAGTGATTGAATAATTTATGCTTATTATTTTGATAAAGCATCAATGAATCACAGAATCACACATAGTTTCAGCTTTGCTACCTAGCTTTTCAGTACTTTGATAGGTCTATGTCTCTTTAATGTGAGTGCTTCTTTCATTAATGAAAATCAAAATCTATCCATGCCATTTCATCCTGTGTAATTCTTGTCCATGTCCTTCCAAAGTGTTCCATAAAGGATCTGAGTCTCTTCCTATTTTGTATAACAATGGAGCACTCAGGCTGTCTATCCCCAGCCACCAACTTTTCTGATTATACAGTATCTCAATGATATCCCTACAGTTTCTCGCATGTAGATGATCATTGAAAAAATGTATCCCTCCATTCTCCACTGTGTCATCTGCAACTCTCGATTCCTCAGAGGTGGTAGTGTTCTAAGATTCAAAACCAAACCATGCTCCTGGAAGAATATTTCTGTTTAAAAGATGGATTTATCTTACTGCTCCCAAAGGGAAGTATATACCATAGTTGTTTTATTTTTTAAAGAAAGAAAAAATAAGCTGCTTACATCACATTTCCAACTTTCACTCTTAGTCTTCTTGATGGAAATAAATTCTTGTGCATTCTCAGGATGAAATCTACAAAGCAAAAACAAGAATATTCTGGATAGGTTATACCCTTTATCAAAATTTGCATAGGAATATACTTAACAGTCACAGAGGATTAAGGACTGATTCATCACTCAAAATATATGTATACATATTAGTATTTAATAAAATTTTAATGTAGTCACTTTATGTAAGATATGTTCTAAGAGAGAACACACTTAAATGTTATAAAACTAATATTTTGTAGGATCAATGAACTAGCCACTTAAGAGAAAATCTGCTGTGATCAAATATCATTTTATGGGATACTGTCATTTCACCTTACTGTTCTCAGGATAAGCATAAACAAACAAACAAACAACAACCAAAAAAAAAAACCCATTATGAACACGAATAGAATATAAACTCACTGAGAGTTGGGACTATTTAGTTTTTGTAAAACTATTCAGAACAGCTAGTGATGCAGTGGATAGAGCACCAGGCCTGGAGTCAGAAAGACCTGAGTTCAAAACTGGCCTCAGACACTTACTAGCTCTGTGACTCTGGGTGAGTCACTTTAACCTGATTGCCTCAGTTTCCTCATCTACAAAATGAGCTGAAGAAGGAAATAACAGATCACTCCAGTATCTTTACCAAGAAAACCCCCAAATGGGGTTGATCAAATGGGTTAGCCTAGGCAAGTCATTCACTTCTTCTTGCCTCAATTTTCCTCACCTGTAAAATGGGTATAATAGTACAAAATAATAGTACATAGTAAGCTGTATATAAATGTTAGTTACTACTACTATTTCATAGTTAAAAATTTCTGTTTCAATGTCAACAAACTACATTTCAATATCAAAGACATGAATTTAAGATAAGTAAAAACCTCAGGATTCAATCAATCTTTCTGCTCTATCCTTTCAAGTTTCACTTATACAAAAACACATACATACAAAAAGATGCAGCATGTTGTAGAGGACAGAGCACTGATCATGAAACCAGAAAAACCAGAGCATAAATCTTGCTTCTGATCTATACTAGCTGTATGACAATGAGCAAATCACTTAATCAGTGAGTGTACCCAGGTAACTAACACTGAGTTAAGGAAGGGAAAGAGAATTTATTAAGCACCTACTATGTGCCAGGCACTGTGCTAAGCACTTTACAAGTATTATCTCACATCTTCACAACTCGAGGAGGTATGGTGCTATTTACTACCCCCATTTTATAGCTCAGGAAAATGAGGTAAAGTTTAAGTGACTTGCCCTGGGTCACCCAGTTACTAACTGTCAAAGGCCACATTAGAACTCAGGTCGTCCTGACTCCTAGTAGCTAGGTAGCACAGTGGATAGAGTACTAGACTTAGAATCAGGGAAGACTCACTTTCATGAGTTCAAATCTAGCCTCAGACACTTACTAGCTGTGTCACCCTTGGGCAAATCACTTAACCCTGTTTGCCTTGGTTTCCTCTTCTATAAAATGAGCCAGAGAAGGAAATGGTAAACACTCCAGAATTTCTGCCAAGAAAACCCCCAAAATGGGGTCACGAAGAGTTGGACGCAACTGGACAACAACTTCCTGACCACAGGCCCAGCACTATATCCACTGCATCACCTAGCTGTCTCTTACAGGAAGTTGGACATATGTCTTAGTGGCAGGAGTTTGTACAAAAAGAATTCCTTATTCAAGAGAAATCAAAGATCTGGACTGACCCCTTGCCCCTCCCTGCCACATACAACTTTTTTTGCATACCTAGAAAAATAACCATTTTGTAGATAATAAATTACAGTAAGAAAGTGAATACTTACCTCTTAACATGTTTAGCTAGAGTCTTCTTACTTGCATGAAGTTTATTACAATAAGGGCATTTATGTTCCTTTTTATGAAATTCTGTTTCATTACTGTGCTTCTTTCTGTGAACGGTTAGGTTAGATTTTGTTGAATAACGCTGATGACAAATATCACACTCAAAGGGCTTCTCACCTGTGTGAACACGGGTGTGACTTTCATATTTTCCTATTAAAAAAGAGACTAGAATTAATTCAGCAAATTTACTACACATAATTATTGAGATTTATTTTGCTTCATAAATAAAAAAGTAATACATTCAAGGGGAGACCTGTGATTTCATTAGCTAGGAACTTCCTGGCAAGGAAACTGCCAGATGACAAAGGACTCTCTTTCAATACAAGTTAGCACCTTCTCTAACTTGAGTCTTAGAGAGTTACCTACAACACCAAGAGATTAAATTGAATCCAGGTCTTCCCAGCTTTAAGACCTTCTTTAATTATGCTTTACATTATTCGGCCTCTCATTATAATGCAATAATAATATAATAATAGTTAGACACTAACATAAAAAATCATCTTTACCTTTGGCAAATCTCAAGCATTTACAGTTGCACCTCTCCTCAAGCTCTTCACTCCTCCCCACACCCAAACAAAAGCAAAAGGATTAAAAGTTAAAGAAGTCATTCGTATTCACTGACTTTCAAAACACTAAGGTTAGAGGAAATCTGTGGATTAGCTAACTAGCTAACAGTTTTCCCAATGAATTCCTTGAAACAAAATAAAAGATAAACTTTAAAATATAACATGTAAATATTACAAACCAGTTTTCCACAAGAGTTTTAATCATCAAGTTTAACTGAAAATTAAATTCATTTTTCATTCTTTCTATACATGCAACCGCAAAGACGGGCTTTTTTGTGTCAAAGACGCCTTTGGAAATCTGGTGAAACATGGACCCCTTTCCATAATGTTTTTAAATGCATAAAATAAAATATATAACATTACAAAGCAAACCAATTATATTAGAATTTGGTTATCTATCTATCTATCTATCTATCTATTGTAGTTCACACATCACAAGTTAAGAATTCCTCCTCTGAAAGCAACCTTTAGAAGACCCTGGGGACAAGGAATTCTAAAAGTTCTTCCATGGGCTAATTTGTACCTACTAAGCAACCTTGCCCCACCTTCCACTGGCAACATTCTATTCCAATCTACTTTAGATCCTGTTGGTTCTCCAAATCCAATTCTCTAATTTAACCACCCTGGAGCAAACTACATGCCCTACTAGTTCCTGAATCCCCAACCTTATAACAAAGTCATTCTACTCCTCATCCTCAAGCCTATTCCAGTCAGGTTAAAGCGTTCTTTGAACCTCCTCTAACTTTATAATCATCTATTCTTAAAGAAATTCTCTACATTTTCAAGCTTTTCAACTTATCACTTTCAAGAGAGCTGGATTTACCTTGAAAATATGATACTGCTTGCAACTCCCTCCAACAGAAGTCACACATACTCTCCAACTCCCAAGGCTAGGAAAGGAGGTTAATATGCTCTTTATTCCCTCATGCTGCTTCCAAAATACTTCTCTGGCAATATCTATTCCCTTCCCCAACATTTTTCTCCTGAAGTTCTAAGTCTAACAATCCTTATTGCTAGCTATTATCCTATCAATCTTTATTGATAGATCTATAGGTCACAATCTTCAATGACTTTAGGACCTTTGTTACCACACCTCATTCCTTGCCTCATCAGTATAGTTTCATACCTCACTCTAATGACTGAGACCACTGGATGTGAGCTAGCTCAGCATTCCTCCTCCCTCTGGCAAAATATGTCTTCATTACTCTCTTTCTCTCGGATCACAAAAGAGCTATCTCTAATCCTCACTGAAACTAATTCCTCAATAAATAGCCTACATTCCATTCCATATTTATCTTCTGGGATTTGCTCTAGAAGAGATCCTGGCTTTCTCATCCAATTTCAACCACTACCTCTCCATTAGCTGTTTCCCATTTACCTAAAAACCAGCCCAGGTATCCCTAATGATTAAAATTAACATGATACTTCAATCCCATCCTAGCTCTTTCATCTTTACTATTAAATTTCACAATCAAGTTGTTCATATACCTTATGCCTCCAATTCCTTACTATCTCATTCTATCAACACTACTCCTAACCTCTCTACAAACAACAACAACAACAAAACTATCTCAAAAATCACTAAGACTTGCCAGATCATCAGTCTTCATCCCTCTATAGCCTCCCCTGTAGAATTTTATTATCTTCTACTGAAATTCTCCCCCTTAATTTCAGAGACACCACAATTTCATGGGTTTCTTCCTACATCACTAGCCAGGCTTTACTTTTTTTTCTATGGCTACAACCAGGTAGAAGAGTTGTTGCCTGCGAAACTCTCCACACCCAAAATCTCAAAAAAAAAGAATGAGGCACCACACAACTAAAACTGAATCCACAGGATAAGAAATCCCACACAAGGCAAAAACTTTATGAAATAACAACATCAAACTAAGAAAAAAATATAAGATCTCCTATTCATCATCTATAGACCTATTCAGCATCTACAGAACCTTTTAAATAAAGTTCTGCCTACAAGACCATCCCCTGCAATGGACTCAGCCTTAATTTCCCTTCCCCTAATCCAACAAAGGGCAAAAGACAATTGATCTCACCCAGCCAGGTAAGAGAAAAAGACAATAATTGGATGGAGGGGTAGAAGTCTGGACAAGGAATGATGAGCAGAGTACTCACTCTGCAAATGAGCAAATGAGTGAATACTGAGGGAGAGAAAACTAGAAAGTCAAATGGAATTGGTCATCTCCTCATGAATAGATCCTGACAACTGATCCCTATATCCTCCAAAAAGAATATCTAATAACCAATCATAGAGGATTTGAGGGGCCATGGGAAGGAGAGAGACCAAAGAGTATGGAGGAATTCCAAAGTCAAGTGACAACCAGTGGTGGGTGTGTGGAATTAATTAGGGACATGAGAAGAGGTGTACAATAGTTCCCACTGGCAAGCAACAAATAGAGGGGTAAAGGGTTAACCAGCTATCCCTTACTATCTTACTATAATATAATAATCTCTTACTATGACCTTAAAATGTAACATGGCCCTAGAAATGTAGACTAATCATGGTAAGAGAAGGAATACAACCAGGCTTCATGATTTGTAGCACAGAGTGTCTCCAACCACACGCTACTTCCATTTAATATTGCTTTCCTCATGAACTGCTATTTCCAAAAGGCATAATGGGTGGAGAGGGAAGGAAGTAAGATCTACAAAGGTAACATCACAGGAAGTAGATAGAAAAGAATATTTCAGAAATTTTACACTCATGAGGAGCACAACAAAAGAAATAAGGTACAAGTAAAGGCACAGCTCATGAGTCAGAAAAAAAAAATTAACAATAGACTAGAAAGGAAGAGAAATAATGAGGAAGATAAAATTGAAAATCTCTCAGAAAAGATCACAGCAAAAGAAAATTACATAAAATAAAGGCCAGAGGAGAGGAGAGGATGGAAAATTTTCAACCAATGGCTAACCAGCTTATTGTGCAAGGAAAGTAAAAGCTCAAAACAAAAAGTAAAGGAAGGAGAGGGGAAGGATGGCAGAGACGGGAAGTAGGAGAAAAAGAAGAAAGAAAGGGAGGCGGAGGGAGGGGATAGGAAAGAAGGAGAAGGGAGCAAACAGTGTTTGATGACTCACAAACAGCTGGGAAACTTGGAAAGCAAGCTGATAGAAATTAGGCACAGATGAATGTCTCATATCAAAATAAGCTCTAAACGGACACATAATTTAGACATAAAGGATGACACATCACAAACAAATTAGAGGAACAAGAAAAATTATTTTTCAGATCTATGGATAAAACAGGAAAGACTTCACTACCAAAACAGGGACAGAGATCACAGAAGGTAAAATGGATACTGACTGTATAAAATTAAAAAGATTTTTGTACAAACAAAATGGATGCAGAAAAAATTAAAAGGGAAATGTAGCAGCTAGGTGGCGCAGTGGATACAGCACCAGCCCTGGAGTCAGGAGGACCTGAGTTCAAATCCGGCTTCAGACATTTGACATTAGCTGTGTGACCCTGGGCAAGTCACTTAACCCCAATCACCTCACACACAAAAAAAATTAAAAGGGAAAAAGGGTAAGTGGGAGAAAATCTCTACGGAAAGGTTCTCTGATAAAGGTCTTATATAATAAAGATATATAAGAACAAATTCAAATTTATAATAACGAGAGCTACTGCCTAAGAGATACATGTTCAAAAGATATGAAGAGACCATTTTCAAATAAGGAAGTCCAAGGTATCAATAGCCATATGAAAAAATGTTCCAAATCACTAATAACAGAAATGCTCACAAATCTCACAATCTCACAAATATGAGATTGACAAAAATGACAAAGAAGGTACATGACAATTACGGGGTCTGTGGGGAAAACAAGCACACTAATTCACTGCTGGTAGAGATGCAATTTGGTCTGGACATTCTGGAAAGCAATTTGGAACCACGCCCCCAAAACGACTAAACTGTGCATACTCTTTGACCCAGCTATTTCTCTATTTGTCTTGCTCTAAAGAGAGGAAGAAAAAGAAAAAGATCCTTATGTACAAATTTATGTATAGTAGCTCTTTTTGTAGTTACAAAGATGTAGATGCTACATCTATTGAGAAATAAGCAAATTGCTATATGAATGCTATGAAATATAATGTGCGAAAGTAATGATGAAACAGGTTCAGAGAAACTTAATAAGACCTATGTAACATGATACAGAGTGAAATGAGCAGAACCTGAAGAACAATTTGTACAATAAACAACATTACTCAGAAAAACAACCTTTAAAGAACTGCGAATTTTGAACATGAATGATGACCAACCATGACTCCAAAGGACTGATGATAATGCATGCATCTCTTATCAGAAAGGTGATAGACTTCAAGATACACATTTTCAGACACAACCAATGTGTGAATTTGTTTTCCTTGGCTATACATACATATTATATGGGCTTTCTTTTTTGTTTTGTTGTGTTTTAGTTTTCTGATGGGGGAAGGAAAGAAAGGTAAAGGGGATAGGGATTGGAATAGCAAAAAAAAAAAATTAAAAAGAAAGGAAACAGTCAATGATTTTTTTTTAACGCAGTGAACAGAAGGAAGGCAAGAAAGAATCAAAAACAGGACACCTTTGAAAG